GACGGACTGACGACAGTGACGACGCGTGTCACGGGGGAGGGGTGCGGTGAAAAGCGAGTACAAGTGGCTGAGAGATAGAATCAGTGCCTAATCCTCGTTAATCGATTCAGAACGATTTTTAAATGTTTTTTTTTATAAAATAAATAATATTTGCGTATGGAACTAAAGAGCCGCAGCTTCACATCCAAAGAGCCGCATGTGGCTCGCGACCGCAGGTTGCCGACCCCTGGGTTATACTGTTGAATTTATTATTAAAAGAAATGAACTCAGAAAATTTCATGACAGTATAGTATACAGCAGTGCATAGTCTTTAGTAATTTACCAACTACAAAGTAATTTACAAAGACTTCTGGATATTGAAAGCACACTATAATTATAATTTTTCTACTGTCAAGAAATTTTAAATTTCAATTTTTTGAAAAAATTTTTGAGTTATCAAAGTCAGTTGGAGTTTAAATTAGTGGGGTTTACTGTATTTTAAAACCAGAATTTTCATTGATATAAATTTCATTAATTGGAATATCTATAGAGTTAGTTTGCATTATGGAGATTGCGCTGTATCCAAATTTTACGCTGAATTAACTCAGTGAGATAAATATGAGAGGCTTAGTTGAAAAGCAATCTCTTGCAAAACTACAGAAAGAAAGAGTTATTAATAAATTTGGATTTGTGCATCATCAATTCATCTTTTGAGAAACATTCACAGTTTAATTGTAGGCTCCTTGAATTTGTACACCCACATTAATAAAACATTGCATATCAAAGTGCTGGTAAATTGAAACAAATCATTTTTTTTCTCAAGAACTTCCTAATGTAGAATACACTGTTTTTCACTAAGTCTTTCATTTAATCATTGTTGCATCAAAATTTAAGGCTAAATTGGATAACACTGGAATAATTTGTATTTAATCTTAAAAGGAGACAGGCAGACATTCACATCTCCGATTCAAATGAAACTTGATGAGCATGTTGTCCTAAACACAAATAGTTTCTTGTGCAAATAATAAGTCCCACTTCTCAAGTGGGTCCTATTTGCACAAGAATTTTCAATTTTCAAAAATCCTTTCTGAAAAAAGGGTTTTTGAAAATTGAGTGTTTACCATATAAGTCTAGAAGTTCTAACTATCCTAGGAATGGCAGTAACCAAATGGATACGGTTTTAGACACTGGGTTTGATCCTTCACAACTTTAGGGGTTTTTTTTTTTCTAAAATGTGTAACATAGTTATTTTATTATTTTACCATATCATTAGCATTATTTACAGTAGAGCGTCGATTTTCCGAAAGTCAATCATCCGAAACGTCAATCATCCGAAACGTCAATCATCCGAAAGAATTCCAGTCGGCAAATTTAAATTTTCGCCAGTGATGTGGCGCTTTAATCTTTGGCTATGTCTTGGGCTACTCAAATATTTTACATTTTTGATACTAAATTAACATCTGAAGTATAATTTTTTATTGTTTTTATATTTTTCAATATACAGTGAAAACTGCTTAGGCGACCACCTGCATTGGACGGGCACCTGTCAAAACGGGCAAAAATTTCTGGCACGGAATTTTCAATTTACATAATAAGTTACCTGTATTAAACGACCACCTGTCTAAAAGACCACTTTTTGAAGGAACCGTGGGTGGTCGCCATAGACAGGTTTTACTGTATTTATTTTGTTTGTACAAAATAAAAAAATAATTTTTAACGATACAATAGTCTTCGTTAGGCTTAACAACGACGAAAATTCAACGCAAAGCGACACGCAACGGATAAAAATTTCGATATCGGATACGTTAAACTATTTTTTCGTACGTAAATCAGTTATCTGAAATATCAGTTATCCGGACAACCCCAGTCCCCAATTGATTCGGAAAATCGACGCTCTACTGTATTACTATTCTTATTCCATTTAAAGCTTATAAAATGAGTTAAAAAATTGTGACAGCTGTTTAGCAAAAATGAAGTTTCTGTAGATTTAACTCTTGTATGTCATTAAGTGAAATTTTTATTTCTTCATATTTATTTTCAGATATGGTAGTATTTTAAGTGTAACAAACATGAACACATGAGGGCATTATTCATAAAATTAACAATTGAAAGAAAAATGCTGTAACTATGTTATCCTATTTTTATATCAGACTTGTCTTTTTCATCTATGCACAGTAATGTCTGGAGCTTATTTGCTTGTGATATCATAGTTTATAACCATGAGTGAAAATATCTGAAAATAAATATGAAGGAATAAAAATTTTACTTAATGACATACAAGGTCTGTTCAAAAAGTATCGGACTTTTATTTTTTTTTGCATAAACCAATGATGCGCAGGAGGCCTCTTTCAGTGGAGTTGTGGAGGGGACAGTCATGCACAGCTCTGAATTTTTTCCCACCTGCAGGAAGCGTCAGTTGTTGGCAGTCAGCCTATGAGTGAGGACATGTAGTGAGCTCTCGTCGGATTCCACTAACTTGGAAAATGACTGAACAACGTGAGCAGTGATATTACATCAAATTTTGCCAAAAACCTTGGCGATACCCAAGCGTAAACCATTCGCAAGATTCAGCAGGCTTTCGGGGACTTCGTTGTCTTTCTGATGCTGTGCGACGCAAACGACCGGATCTGTGGTCGATCAAAACTTGGCATCTCCATTGTGATAACGCATCCGCCCATTCTGCGCATCTGATTCGGGATTTTGTCGCCAAACACAACACTCCTGTGGTTCGTCATGCTCT